AAGGGTGTGAAAAAAACCCCCCCCCCCCCCCCCCCGCTAATCCCCCTCCCGGCACCGCCTGTAGGTTGCCCGCTGTCCCCCCGACGGGGCGCACCGGGGGGAAAGGGGGCGGCTTGTTGCGCCCTCGGCATCTCCCAGGGATGCAGAGCCCTGGCTGCCTTAACTCCGTGTTCCTGGATGGGGCAAAAGACGGGATCAAAGCAAGGAGACGGGCATCAAAGGTTCCCCTGTCATGGGCTGATCGGGATGTGAACCGTAGAGACACGACTTTTAACGCCAGGTCTGGGGAAAGATCTCCCAACAAGCGACTTCGGTTTTAGCTTCGAGTTAACAAAGAACATTTTAGAAAGGCCCTCAGCTAAACGGCGGTTTAGCCAACCTCAAAGCTTTGGTGGGGGGGAGAAAAAAAAAAAAAAAAAGAAAAAAAGTTTGAAGAAAAATGAGACCGCACAAAGCACTGGGATTTAGGAGTCCACAAGCAAAGCAGCTCTCCCAGCCTGCAGGCGCTCTCCCGCTGCTCTAAAATGAGAGCCCTTGTTCTGGTCCTCCTCTCCAGGCACGAAGGGGCAGGAGGTGTGCCAGCCTGGCTGCCATCGGGCACCGGGGGCCACCTTGGCTGTTATTTGCTCCTTGATGTATGGGAAATCTTCATGTGGCTGGGAGAGTAATATATAGGTATTAGGTTTCAAGAAAGCAGGAAGTAATAAATATTTTAATAAAATACCTCTCCGCAGTTCTACGGTATTGAGCTAGGGTTTGAGTGCAATGCATACAGGCAGAAAAAGTCTCGCATACCCCAGACCTTGCTGGGTATTTCCAGCTATTCCAGTTGGTCTAAAAATGAGGGTGAAATGTATAATCTTATCCAGTCCTTGCCTTGCTTCCATCCTTAGATGGCCACAATGGCACTACTTCTATACATGAACTCTGAAAATTTTGATAGAAGTTTGCTTCACTTGTTTTAAAGACCAGGGAATGACTTCTGAGAGGTTATTTTTCCTGGTGGTGGCAAGAATGGTTGATAATTTAAAAACAGCAAGCAAGTAAGCAAACAATCCTTTCTCTCCCTCTTGCCTTGCTCTCCTGCTTGACTCATCTCTTTCAAGCCAATGAAGCTTTGCATGGGCACCCAAGGGAAAAGTTTGCAACAGCGAGGCTTCCTAGCTCTTGTGGTCAGCAGAGATGGATTGGTTCTTCCATGCAATGCTTCTTAGCACTTGAGTTGGGATTTGAGGTGTTCCTTGATTTGATCCTGAGAACCTGTGAGATGTATTCATTGGAAATGCCAGCCTTTTTGTCTGTTTGCTGAGGCAGTCTGGAAAATCCTCTTTGAACTGAGCAGGGAAATTGAAACTTTGCAAATTTCCCCTCGCGTTTAGCTCCTAGACTGGTGGAGTGTGTCCTTGAGGGTTAGGCTGAAGAATCAGGGCTGACTGGAAGGCTCCTTGGGTAGCAGGCAGCAGGAGCCCAGTGCTGGGCTGGTCTTGGTGTGCAATTGTTCCTGCATACGGGCTATGCTGGATGTGAATCCTTGTAAAGGGCTGTAGAACAAGCCTCATTTTAGGAGAACATTTATGCCAGTCTTTTTCACTGAAAAGATTGTCTTTTGTTGTTTGTGCCTTTTCCCAGTGAAACCCTCAGACCCGCCTGTTAGCCCTGCAGGGAAGGTCTGCTCTTGTGGAGAACCAAGTTTGCAATTTGGGAATTGAGAACCAAGAAATGTTTCAGGAGGTTCTGTCTGAACATTTACATTCAGCTCGTGACATATACCACAAGGAGGAAATGTTCCCCTCTTTTCTTGGGTTGGCCTTAGCTCTTCCTGGAAAAGGTCAGTCTTCCCAGAAGGAGAGACTGCCACTCTGACAAAATCACCACTGAAATTACCCAGCCCTCTCATAACAAGGATAATCACATCATTACGTGCCAAGAGTTGGAATCCAACTGCGGTCATATCACTTATGTAAATACGGAGCAATAGGGAGACCAGTTGGTTTTGTTTGTTTGTTTGTTTTAAAACCGGTGAACTCGCATGAAATTAAAATGTAAGAAATTTGAATTTTAAATCGATCCGGGAGACCCGCTTTAGGTTCCAGCTGCTGTGTTGGAAAGTAGCGTTGCCTTCTGCTCGGCGAGAACTTTCCCTCATTAGTGTGGATCAACATTGCCATCCTGTGGCCAAGAGCATGAACTGTAGTGACCGGGTAGCCGGCAGGAGAGAAGTCTCTTGGTCTCCAGTCTTCTGGTAGATGCGCTAGTCTTCTGTCTTGAAAGAGGGCTTTGTTTGATTTACAGCGATATGAAAAATATATCTGCCACTGGCTCTTCTTGGTCTACCATGGTGCTTTCTCTCTGGGTCATGTAGATCAATCACCTACAAAGAGCATAATTTTCTAAATACATATTTCCACAGGCTTTCTGGGTATTGATTTTGCTTTGTCTTCTACAGTGCAGTCAACTAAACCCTTCTTGGTAGAAAGCCAGTGCTTGGCAGTGAGTGTTTAGAAGATTGACTCCTTGATGATAACAGTTCTTCAGATGTTCTTTTCCTGGATATTTTTTTTTTTTGGTGGATTCATAGAATAGTTTGTGTTGGAAGGCACCTTTAAAGTTCATCTGGTCCAAAGCCCTGCAATGAGCAGGGACATATTCAGCTAGATTAGGTTGCTTAGAGCTCTGTTATCACTAAAGCACACGAGTGAGATATCAAGATTTCAGTCAGATCCCTTCAAAACCCAGCGGCTAATGTAGATGCAGTGACTGTTTTACCCTGGGCAGTCAGCCTCCCCTGCAGAGAGTTTGGCAAACCCTTCATGGCATCATATAGCTTTCACAATACACACCCATGTTTCTATTTTATCCAGCAATATTCAAGGTATGCAAGGAATTAAGGTTGGCTCCAATTTACGTTGTATGTGTGCTGTCACTTCTGGGCTTCAGCTTGCATAAATCTACTGCCTTCGGTGAAGTTGAACCAAATTGTGGTTTGATGGAGCGGCGTTAGGAACTGAACCTGGGGTATTTATTCAGGGCTGAGATTTGGGTGATTGGGGACAAAGAGGGCTGCTCTGCCATAAGGAAGGCAAATAAGTGCATACAAAAAATTAGGTGAGCATAAATAAACAAAACCACAGTTAGCATGCCTGTTTGGGTGTTGTGGGCATGAGTAAATCCTCTTTTGCCCAGAAGTGTGAAGTTGTACCTGCATTAAACCTTGACTGCAACACCGATGTGCGAGGATGCTTTGGAGATGAAGCTCCAGCACTCTTAAGTTGGATGCGCAACGTAACTAAATCCCATTCAAATAGATTTTGAGTAGAGATGATGGTGAATCCGTAGTAAATGATTCTGTCTTTCACAGTGAGGAAGTGTTGCTCTGGGTCTTGATGAGATTAACGGCTCATTGGGGGAAGATCAAAGCTCTGGGTTGTGAAAGAGTAGCCAGATGGAAAACACAAATTTAGTTAAGTCCTCGTGTTTTTAAACTGCAATGGTAGATTGAGGGACTCAGCTCTTCTTGATTGCTATGGCAGCCCAAACAAGAGAGCAAATTTGAAGTAGTGCTTTGGAAATGTCATCACCTGTACTTATATCAGTATAACCACGGGGCTTCGCTCCTCATTTACACAGATTCTGCAGACTGGTGTGCAAGAGCTGAGCTAGCTTTGTGTTTTCTCTGCTGCATCACTTGTGCTCAAGAGTCTGCAAAACCAACACAACACGGGGAGAGATCTGCCTTGTCAGAGAGAAAAGGCAGAAGGAAACTTGGCAGACAGTGGGGTAACGTTGTCTTGTAGATCTTGGGAGGTTAGGAGTCAGATCAATAAAGCAGACGGTGGTAAGTCTTTCAAGATTTACAGTGAGTTACTTTGTCAGAAAAAAAGTTACAGGATATAAATGTGATAAAAATGAATAAGGAGGCTGGGATTGAGGGACTTCTTTGATGTCCGAGAGTCTGTTATCGATGGGAGACAGATACATAAACACACGGCAATTATTGCTAACTGAAGAATCAAGCAAAATGCCTTGTCTCTGCTGGAATGTTGTCAGCTGAACTTCCGAAGTTGTTTGTACACGTTTTTGGGGGTTGGTAGTTTGTAAGTCTTCTAATCCTGCTTCTGAGACCTTTATGTTCGATTCGTGTATCAAATACGTTTTGCTTTGCGAAAGCAGGCTGTCTGCTCCACACGTTGTGGGAGGAAAGGGGGACTGGTTCAGAAATGCTCCTTGGAGTGTTGAAGTATTTAACTCCCATATAGCACTGGCAGAGTCGGAATAACTGGAGGTACCTACGTGCTTTCCTATCTCAGCATCAGGGACTGAATACCACAGGGTGAATAGAAACTCTCCAGAACCTTTGAAAAGCAGTCCCTGTCTTGGCACATCATCCTTTATTTTACTCCTTGGTCTGTGTTTCAGATTAGGGGCTCTTCCGTGCAGACATTTTTTAATCTGTATTGGCTTTGGACCAAATCCAGTTCCTATTGAAGTCACCAACAAAACGTCCATTGATTTCAGTGGGAGCAGGGGATGTAGGAGCTCCTCTTTTGGAAGTTATCTAGCAGGCTGCTCGAGGGTTTTAAGTAGAAATGTCATTAGATGGCACAAAAATTACACAGATGCTTATTGCTGCTGCTGCCTCTTCAAGACGGATGCATTAGGATTATGTGTTTGAAAGCTAAAATTATCGCGTGTGATCCATGACTCTCCACGCTGCTGGGGAGAAGAGATGCTCCGCGAGCGGCAGCGCGGGCCTGCAGTCTGTCCTGGGTTTATTCCCCTAGAAAACTTCAGCATATGTTTCAAATAGCGTGTCTCTCGATCAAGGGAATTCTTGCTAAATAAGCAATAAACACTATTGTATTGCATTGTGTTCAGTAAGCTATATATATATACATATGCACAATGGCAAAACAAAAATATCACTCGGGATTGTACTATTTGTAATAAAAGCAGCTTCTAAATGTGCTTTTTCTTGCACAAAAGCTGCTTGCAGCTAAAAGGCCGGAACTTATTGCATCAAATTGTTGCGTCCTCACCGATGGCCGTGAGGGTCCGGCTCTGTGGCTCCTTTAGGTTGCCAGCAGAGAGAAGGGGTTATGGAGCTTCAGCTGCCTTCCCCATGTTGGTGTTGACGCTGTGTCTGTGGCTCTGCATACCTCCTAGGAGGTGGTTGCGTGATCTGTGGGTGCAAGCTGGGGTCCCAGGGCTGTTGCTATCCTTGGCACCATGCAGAACACCGTCAATCTGGGCTAGGGCACTGCAGGAGAGGGGTTCCTGCAGGCTTTCATGCCCATTTTCAATCCATTAACTGGCTCTCTCTTGCCTTCTCCTTTCTGTTTCAGTTGTTGGTAGCTATGGGTACTTCCCCACGGACCTTCCTGATCCTGGGATGTTTTCTCACAGGTAATGTTCCTCAGTCCTCCACCCCTACTCCTTTGTAAAGCCTTATTTAAGCTTGCTTTCGTTGTGTCCACGATAACAAATGCCAAATGGTTGCCAGCTGGCCACGGGCTCAGTTTTCCTGCCCTTCCCTTCAGTAGGCTAAGGCAAGAAACACCCAGAAGACGGTACTTTTGCCAGCCTGTGCCGGCTGCTTTGGTTCTCCTACAGCTGCTGTGACCTCCTGGTTGCACAAACCCAGTCAGTTTGCCTGCCTTGTGCAGGGAAAGTGAGCCTGCCTACCTCCAGTTGTCCCAGCCCTGCCCCACTGGGGTTTCTCCAGCAGCCTGTGTGGGCTCCCCGCATCCTCCCACGCCGCACCACCTCACCGCGCTCGCCGGGGCTGCCGGCCCGGCCTCCCGACATCTGCTGAGGGGATGGATGCCGGGAGGGGAGGGCAGGGTTTGCCACAAGGTGCCAAATATAGAAAGGGGCCTGTGGCCCCGGGGTAACACGTGTGGGAGCGAGAAACTGGTTTCAAAGACAGGCTGGGTTCCTGCTGCCGGTTTATTGCCCAGGGACCACTTTCACGTTCTGGGTCTAAGTGCCTGTTGGTCGTGGGCTGCCCTGTCTGCTTTGTACAGGTCGTTTGACAGACTGAAACAGCAAATCCGTTTCCCTGCTGAATCCCCCATTTTTTAAAGGGTGTGGATCCTCTAATTTTCCTTCTGGGAGTTGGACCTGCACCAGCCCACCTACAAATTACCCAGGCTTGCAAATCTGAGCCTCTAACTGTAGGTTTCGTCTGAAAACCAGTGCCATCTACAACATCTAGTTCAGTGAATTACAGTTTTATTTGGCTATAAACTTTCTGTGCAATTTGGCTAGAGGTAGACCTGTTGCACAAAATTTTGGGTCTAAGCTCCTGCTCTCTCCCTTCGCAGAAATAGAAGCCAGATATAAAATGCAGGTGCTGGTCTTGGGAAGGGGTTTCTAAATTTCAGTTGTGAGCTTACTCAAAAGCTGACAGAACTGCTGGTTTCCTGACCACTGCTGTAAGGAGCTGTAAGATGCCTGTGACCCAGCAGCCAGGGTGTGGGATTCACTGGTTTGCAGCAGAGCCCACGTTTGGGGCTGGGTTGGGAGCCATCTCTAACTTCACCTCCGTCTTTCACCTCTTGACTTGACAAACAGAAGTCGGCAAGCAAACACTTAGCATTTCAAAGGGAAGCCGTTTGCCATCCATCGGGCAAAATGCTGGCTTTTAACAGATTTCCTGGGACATCCACACTTCCAAAATGGTTAGAAAAACAGCTGCTCTGGATCTACTCTGCTGTCTGTCACATCCTGTGCTGAGGTTGTTCTCTGTGTTCATGTGTTATTTATTCACGTCTTTTTTGCAGGACCGTTCCTAACGTTTTGCCAGCTTCCTCTGCCGACTATTGTTCCCAATAGGAATGAAATGGTGGTACAGCTGAATTCCAATTTCACACTCAAATGCTCTGGAGACAGTGAAGTGAGCTGGCAGTACCCAGTGACTGAGGGAAGCCACAGGATAGACATCAGACATGAAGAAAACAACAGTGGCCTCTTCGTGACGGTGCTCGAAGTAGGAAATGCCTCAGCTGCTCATACGGGCTTGTATGTTTGCTATTACAACCACACTCAAGTGGAGGATTGGGAAGTGGAAGGGAAGGACATCTACATCTATGTGCCTGGTGAGTGAGGGCTGCCACAGCTGTACCCGGAGGTTTGGATGGGAGGGCTGAACCGTGGATGTTCAGAAGAGGCGTGTTGCTGGTGGCAATTTACCATCAGAGGAAGATAAATGACCCCAGGGCCGTTTCCTAACACGTAAATCAAAACCAGCCCCTATGAATCTATGGATACGTTCCTCTTTCTTTCTACTGGTTTTCACTTCTTTGGTAAGAGTTTTAGTTCTCGAGAAGAAGGCTGAATTTGTGACTTCAGACCTGTGGTCTTCTGACCACCAGGGGCTGGGTAGTAGATCTTGGTGGCTAGGTCAGCTCAGCTGTGGAAGTGTGTCCAGCCTTCAGGTTTGCCTGGCCCCCGGGTGGTGATTAATGTCAAAACCAGGCCTTTCAGGGGTGACTTGGGTGGATGGTTTGGGATGTGTACTGACCAAACCAGTGCCGTGTCTGACACTAATGCAGTTGCCAGATAAGCAAAGCCATATCTCCTTCTTAACCTGAATTAGGGTTGGACTGAGAACTGGAAAAAGCTCGTGTGTGTACATGCCTGGGAAGCACAGAGCAACAGAGACGTCTTAGGGGTGGCTGTCACAAGGGAGGGTGAAAGGAGAAGCATTATTGCTGGCCAGTCTGACGCAAGATTAAAAATATGGTGCAGCCATGCAGTGCCCTGTAATTTTCAAAGCAAACACAGTCTTCCCAGGCCCTGCTCTGCCTTTCTCTGTCATGGTGGAAAACCTGTTGGACCCAGAAGAAATGTCATCTCTTCTTTTCGGACGTATCTGTCCCCAGCTTTGCCCTCCTTCCCCCTTGTTCTGACTGGAAATCTGTTTAAAGGCTTTCCACAGTATCCATGGGATGAAGATCTTTATTGTCATGGCTGAGATAGGCACCAGAGCCTGAGCCACAACTGACTGCCTTTGTAAAGCCCTGTCTGGATGTTTCCTCGGCGCTGGCTGGGGTTCAGGGGATGAGTGGCATGACTGCAGGGCCAGGAAGGATCAAGCCAGTAGATTTGCAGTAAATATTGTGAGCAGGAAGCAAAGGAGAGAAGAGACTGCAAATCATCTCGCCAAATCGCAGTATGTTGTGAAGGAGATGGTGTCTGCAGCTGCAAGGAAGACTGTGGAAAACTCAGGAAGCGCTAATGGGACTTATTTTAAAGGCAATTTTGCAGTGGCATTAAGATTTTGCAATTCATGATGTGTGATTCTTCCAAGACTTTTTCTCCATTTCCCACAGCAAATGTGAAGTGTTTGTGTTTGTCCTTGAAGCAAGAAGATGTTTCAGCAGAGGCTGCAGGCTTTGGCACACGTATCTCAATTTCCAAACAGCTCTACCAAATGACCAGAAGCTGCTGTTGGTGTTAAGCAGTCTTGTAACTCACTCCGTGAAGGAATATAAAGGCAGGAGATGGAAGATTTCTTCAAGAGGGCTTTTCGGTTTGGTTTTGAAATGCCTCTAGACATCAGCCTACCAGATTTGCAGGGCAGAGTCACCCTGTAATTTTTTCCACTCGCTAACCATCAAGATGTCATAAATGCAGTAACATATCCTTTTCTTCAAATTATAGAGAATGTCTCTGTTTCCACTATAAACTTTGTCTTTACAATTGTTTTTCCTGCAATGAATTAGGAGGGCAATGGGTGGCAGCAACCCACTTTAGCCAAGGAGGATTACATTGGGACTTCACACAATATCCCATTTTCACTAACAGCGCACAGAAAACCAAACTAGGTGAATCCTGTTTCTGTTTTAAATTACAGTGGGAAAATGAATACATGGAGTTGGCAGCGCCTTTGGGATGGAGCGCTGTGTTTGGAATATTGCTACAAAGAGCCTGCCAGTGCAGCAGAAAGTCTATTGTTGGAGGGATTTGGATTGCTATTTATTAAATTTTGTTATAAAGCTTCGCACAGAAGCTTCAGGCTAGCAGGGATTATTTGTTTATTCCGAATGGCCAAATGGAGATAATTTGAGGGCTGTGCTTTTTAAGTTGGATATGTTATGCAATTATGTTTTAAACTCAGGCTTTGGATTGGCTGGGTAGGAAAGTTGGCATGTATTTTGTTGACTTTAAAAGAAATGAAACTACCAGGTGTTTGTTTGCTTTTTTCTGGTTGAATGGCGTATTTTGAAAGCCACATGCTGTGACCATAATTAACTATGTCTCATAACTGTAATGTTGGACATGTTAGAAATGCACGAAGACAAGTACCTTGAACTATTTTTGATGAAATGTGGCTTTAAGTGCTGTTCAACATAAACAACATGAAACTAATTTCTACTTTCTGACATTGAAAGTGTTTGGATTTCTTCTTTTTTCCTTTTTTCTCTTTCTCTTTTTCTTTTTTTTTTTCCTTTTTCCTCATTCCTTTTTTCTTTTTTTCATTTTAATTTCTTCTCTTTCTCTTTCTCTTTCTCTTTCTCTTTCTCTTTCTCTTTTTCTTTTTCCTGCTTATATATTGGTTAAGAGACAACCACTATTACCAAAGGAAAAAAAAAATCTAACTGAAAAAGATGAGTGATTTATACCAATAAAAGACAGAATCTTTAATATTTTTTTTAGTGTACTGAACGTTGCACCTAAGTGCAAAATCCTGTGTCATAAAAATAGGATGTTTAAGTCTAGATTCTTCCCTAAGGTCTTTGTTGTACATATATCTTGATAGAGTTGTCTATGATAAAGTGAATTCATCTTTACTTAGTCCCCAGCAATTACATGAATGGTTTCACAGCCAGTAGTGATTTTCTTGCTTTAATATCCTTTTGCCCTTGCTGTAGGAATATCTCAGAACCAGGTCTAAAGGGAATAATACTACTTAGATTTCTTTACCCGGAGTCCTTTGCATTTCCTATTCTTTCCTATTTTGTGGTTAGACCAAATAAAGAAAAGTAGATACTGCTTACAGTTAACAGGCCTTACCTCAGTCTCTGAAAAAATGGAGTAATAAGCTGTACTAGTTTCAGTTATGATCTACAAGTGGTCATTGATATCTGATTCTTGTAAAGGGTCTTGCTACAAGCAAGACAGTGTAAAATTATCTCTTGTCTTTTACAGACCCGGACATGCCTTTTGTTCCTTCTATACCAGAAGACCAGTTCATCCTAGTAGAAGAGGGAGATTCCACCATTATCCCTTGTCGGACAACTGACCCAGATGCTGAAGTGACATTAATTAACAGTTTGGACAAGGCTGTCTATGCTTTCTATGACAGCAAGCAAGGCTTCGTAGGGAATTTCCCTGCGGGCTCATATACGTGCAAAACAACGGTTAAAGGTGTGGAGTTCAAGTCTGATGAGTTCCTCGTCTATATTTTAAGAGGTACTAATTTTTGTTCATAAAAAAAAAATAAATTAGTAATATTCACCCTAGTTCTTTCCTTGTACTGTAAGAGCTGTATTAGCACCAGCATCACAGGGTTATATCAGATACTTCCTGGTGATGAGCTCTTTCTTCCCCTGACAGCATCACTAGTTATTTAGTTGCTAGTTTACTTAGCAGTTATGTACATTTTTGATTAAAATAATGTATTCTTAAGTTTATATCCTCTCCCAAATGGGTACAGAAAAGTCTTATGTGATTCATGTGTTTTCATCCTGTTAACTGAAACATAGCTTAAAAGACTGATGTTTCCCAATGGTCTCAAATTGTAGGACTTTGAGTAGTCTGAAAAACAGCGTAATTCAAATATTCTGACAACAAAGTTTTTATTGGCCAGCAGTGGATTCTCAAAGACAGTCACCAATTAGCAAAATGGGATATTGCTCTTATACTGAGTGCTTTTTCACAGGGGCACATGAGAGAGAAACTTCTAATTTTAAGCATAGGTTGGTCTTTTTGGGAATGAACTCAATGTCTTTACACTTCATGCTTTAAGTACACATTGTTTGTATCAGTATAAACCACCGGTACTTTCACTGAATTTTCCAGATAATCCCTCAGTAGAAGAAGTGAAATGAAAATTTCCCCCTGAAATCATACCATGTATATTGCATATTTTTTAGAACTAAATCTGTTCTCTTTCTCTTCTCTTAGCAACTTCACAGCTGCCGGTTGAAATTGAAGCTCTTAAAACTGTGTACAAAACAGGCGAGACCATTGTAGTAACTTGTGTGGTCTATGACAATGAGGTGGTTAATTTACAGTGGAACTATCCTGGGAAAGTGGTAAATATCTCTTTTTATTTCATTTTTGGTTTGAATGTTTGTAGTTACTTAATGGGGAAGAAGGTGGGGTTGTAAAATATTCTCCTCTTGCCTGAATGAGGACAGCTGAGGAGAGAAAACAAAGTATTTCTTTTACTTTTAGGTTACCACAAAAGACACTCAGTCCCAAAAAGTTAGAGTTTGCTGTTAGTAAGTATGCAAAGTATGAGAGGAAGGTGAGGTGTGACTAGGAGTCCATCCTCCAAGGGAGGAATGCTGTCTCTCAGGTCTTGGGCTGGTTGAAAAAAAGAAATGTTGTGGAAATAGAAAGGTCTAGGAATGTGTCAGACATCTGCATAGAGCTCTGCTGCTGGAGGTCTGAACCTCTAAAATGGCTCTCTTAAACCTTGCATTCTTGGGCATAGTGGAGATGAAGAATCAAGTTCATAGCCTTAATTGTTCCTTGTTATGCAGGTGTTAATTAATATGACTTACAATCAGTGTAATTACTCACTAATGAGAACTGTCTAGTAAGAAAAACTTAAAACTTTTGGATAACCTCAGAAATTTTCAAACTGGCGTTAATATTGTTCTGCAGTGAAAATTTTTATTGGTTAGAGCCCGTCCCTGTCAATGAAGAACTTCAGAGTATCACATGTAAAATGTCTGGTAACACTGAAGGGATGGAGTAGATGAAGTGACTACATAATTGTGACCCTAAAATGCCCCCTTTTATTTAAGTAATTTAAGAGCCCCAGAGAAAAAAAATGAATTAAGAAGATTTTATTCTATTCTCCATGCTGCACATTATAATCTTTACTATATGCCACCTTTTAAAACTGTCCCCAGCACACTTTTTATTCCAGCCTCTCATGATAACACGGTCTACCGTTCTTACCATCCTTTTACTCGTAGCAGTCTTCCCCTGGTCAATAAATTATTCTTGTTTTGAGAGATGGCACAACATAGCATCTAGCAACTCCTTGCTTTTTGTCTGATGGAGGGGACAAAAATTCACCCTATGTCATGGGAAGGGAACAAATAAAATTCAAAATAAAAACCCACAGCTTTTATGCCTGAGGAGAAGGTAGTGCATAATCAGTAAAATACTTTCAGGCTGCTTATCCAAATTTTGAATGGTATTTCGTTTTAAGTGAACAAAATATGAGCTTTCAGCCTCTTCACCCTTCTGTGCCTGCCCTTGTGGCTGAAAATACATCCCTGACTGAGTAAAGCCTTCTGCCATACAGGGTTTAGGTGGTTGCTCTCACTCCAGTGCCATCATAGATTCTCAGTGACGTGCTTTCAGCTCAGTTACTTAAGTACGGGTTTGTTTTTTTTTTTTTTCCTTCTCCAAACTACAGAAAGAAAAAGGTCTGATAAAACTTGATGATATCAAAATCCCATCCCAGAAGCTGGTTTACACCTTGACCATTCCCGAGGCCTCAGTGAAAGACACAGGGGATTATGAATGTACTGCTCGGCATGCAACCAAGGAGGTTAAGGAAAATAAGAAAGTAGTCATTACAGTTCATGGTATAGTCTGATTTTAGTGTCCAAAAATTACTAATGTTTTGGAAAACACCAACGGTAAATGCTGTACAGCGCTGCTTACACAAGGCTTTTTAATTTGCAGACAAAGGGTTTGTCCACCTGGAGCCTCAGTTTAGCCCTCTGGAAGCTGTCAATCTACACGAAGTCAAAAACTTTGTCGTCGATGTGCAGGCATACCCAGCACCAAAAATGTACTGGTTGAAGGATAACGTGACTCTGATTGAAAATCTTACCGAGATTGTTACTAGTTCCAACAGAGTCCAGGAAACGAGGTAAAAACATTCTTCTGACTCTTACTTTTCCATGTTGATTTGACCTAGGCGCTGCTCCAATTTATAATATTATCTAATATTAAAAATATTCTATTTTTGTTTCCTACTCTAAAGAGTAATGTCTAATCTACCTCTTTGTATTCCCTTCATAACAGCCATAGGAATCTTGGTTTTTGAGCACTAAGCCCCTTCAATCCCTTCAAGATGCCTCCTCTCCAATAGTTTCTAGCTATTTCCAACAATATCAGAGACTTTCTTAGATCCCTGTGGAATATAACTATGCCCACTTGTTTCTTATTTGTATTTTGAGAGTTATTTACCATTTGAATAATTATTTTAGTGTAAAGGCATGCTAGAAATGCCAAATGCCACATTATAATGTCCACATACCCAGGTTATAAATTGTATTGAAGTGGATTTTTTTGATTTTTTTCTTTTTTTTTTTTTTTATGCCTGCTTTAAAAATATAAACAAACCCTCTCATTTCTGCAGGTTTCAGAGCGTATTAAAATTGATCCGGGCCAAGGAAGAAGACAGCGGATACTATACTTTGGTTGCTGAAAATGAAGACGAGATTAAAAGATACACCTTCTCCTTGCTGATACAAGGTAAGGAGCCGTGCCCACCAGAACTGACGGCACTCAGCAAAGACTCGGTCCTCTTACAGGTCGGGTTGCCTGGAGTCTTGAGATAAGGAAGACATGAGGAGTGCGTGCGTGCCGAGTCCTTGGAGCTCTCGTCCCCTGATCCTGGCTTTCGCTTGGGCGCTGGCCTTGAGCCAAAGGGAAACTCTATCCTCCCCTCCTAAGTTATTCCAGCTGACAGCGGGGACGATAGCTCGTTTAGTATGACATGAGGACGTGGCATAACCGCAGCACTTCCTTTCCCTGGCTCTAGCCTAGGATCCGCTCTGTCCTACAGGAATTAAGGACCTCCTGGACGAGCCCAGGTTCTCTAGCTGTCACCAAGCTGTCGGCCAAACAATACCTGTCCTGGTTCATTTGAAATTTCAGGCTGTTTTTGTAGACCCTGATGAGCGTTTTCACAAACTCCTGTCTCCTCCCCAGTTCCAGCCCTGATTTTAGACCTCGTGGACGATCACCACGGCTCCGCCGGTGGGCAGACAGTGAGGTGCTTGGCGGAGGGGACCCCTCTTCCTGATGTGGAATGGCTGGTTTGCAAGGACATTAAAAAGTAAGAGGAGTGGGTGCTTTCTTATCTGAAATATGACTGGCTGTGCCCTTGATTAGCTTAGCGTTTTTAGTTACTGTACCACTCTTTCCTTGCCAAGGGCCAGTAAGCTACAAATCTGATTCGTCTTTTCGGAGGCTTATATTTCAAGAGGTTGTCAGGGCCCTTCCTAGTGATTGCATCCTGTAGGAGAAGACACAATGCATTAATTCAGGAGGTTTCTCTCATAAATCTTTGTGCTCAATGAGCAAACTCAGCAGATTTCACAATCCCAATTTGAGTAAGGATCTTGAGGAGCAGCTGTCCCTCCATTCAGGGAGATCTTATAATTTCACAAAGCTCTGCCTGCCTCCTTAATATTCTTGTGTACGTCTAAATTTTAACTTGTAATTATTACCCCCCAAATTGTAATTTTTACCTTCAAAGTATTTTAGACATGTGGAGTAGTTATTCCCATTTTTGATAGTTCTAGGCAGGCTCCTGTAGCTGCTGGGAGGCAGAATTTTCCCTGGGATGTTATCCACAAGGGAGAGGGAGACCATGCATGGAAGAAGGAACCTCCCAGCTGTGTTCTGCTCTCCTTGTGCTAAAACCTCTTACTGCCTGGTGGGACGAGTGTCCTCCTGTCTCTGCCTCAGGGAGCCTTGTGCAGCATTAAGGATTCAGGGAGAAATAGAGATGCATCCAGTATGATAACTCTGTGGGATACATAGAGACACCAGGGTCTATCTATACCAGATCTTCCGGGCTGCATTGTCAGACCTTCAAAGTGGCAACAGTAATGAGGATCAGAAGACAAATTATTCTGAGGGAAGAAAGATGCAGGCTTTTCACAGAGGTGGTCTTAAGCATTTCTGGTCTTTAAAATTATTGTTGGAAGAAATAGGGAAAAGTGATTGGTGTTCTGTTCACTCGTCTTTATCCATACCTATGTCCAACACCTGTTTCGCTGTTATTGTTCTCTGCAGGTGTAGCAATGACACCTCATGGACTCTTCTGACTAACAATATCTCTGATATACACATGGAAGCCCACCTAGATGAGAAAAACATGGTGCAAAGCCAGGTGACCTTCCAGAAGGTAGAGGAAACCCTGGCTGTGCGCTGTGTTGCAAGGAACGACCTCGGTGCTGTTACTCGGGAACTGAAGCTTGTGGCTCCCAGTGAGTTTTCTTTGTCCTTCTGTGAAATTACAGCAGCCAGGTGGACCCCTCTCTAACACACCCCAGTTCAGTCTTAATAGATAAAAATGTGAATTGTTGCAGACAGAAATAAATGGAAATGTTTGGGTTTTTTTTCCCTGCCTTGGGACATCTGAGGATAAGCCCTTCTGCAGGTCTTTATGGTGCATCTGTTTTTTACTTATTATGTGGTTCCATGATTCATTTTATCATTTTATGGCCACTGGCTATAGGATGTTCTTCTAGACAGTCTCTGCATTTGGTTTTGAAACAAGAAGGCAGAGAAGCTCTGGGCTTGGCAAGACCTTACAGTCACCAGCCCCAGGGACTTCTCCTGCCACATCTGCAGGACACGGGAACTGCGATGGTATGGGAGGTGAATGTCTTGTGTGTGTGTCATGTTCCTTGTGCTTCAGGAGGAAAATATGGTTTGTCTTTTTACTCCACAGCCTTGCGATCAGAACTAACAGTGGCTGCTGCAGTCTTAGTGCTGTTGGTGATTGTGATAATTTCACTGATCGTCCTGGTCATCATATGGAAACAGGTAATGTAGGGAAAAAGCCCATGTCAGTTTGGATGTTGAGCCCTGATGGGTTTTGATCCTCTCTGAAGTCAGGCACAGGACTAATGGTTGTTTTTGCATTCAATGTGCTTTGCAGAAGCCGAGGTATGAGATAAGATGGAGAGTCATTGAGTCTATCAGCCCCGATGGCCATGAATACATTTATGTGGACCCAATGCAACTGCCTTATGACTCCAGATGGGAGTTTCCTCGAGACGGGTTAGTGCTTGGTAAGTTTCCTCTAAGGGACTAATCCCACCCATTTTGGGGGGAGAAGGATGATTAAGGACAACTCTGAGGTCTCTGCTACCGGGATTTGTGATGTAACTCATGGCTGTGATGTCCAGAGCCTCTCTAGACCTGTCTGTCCTCCTCCGTTCTCTTGCCACATCCTCTTCTTCCCCTGCAGTGGTGTCAACCTTGAGCTTCTTGGGTTACTGTTTTCCATGCTCTCCTTCACATGCCTCAGCTGCAGTGCCTACCTCCATGTGGTTCAGGGGGCCTTTCCCCAGGTTAAATTCCCTCTTCAACACCCACTTCTGTGAAGGCACCCCCAAAAAGCGCATCAGCATTTTTTATTTGCAAGACATTTGTACACTTATGTGTAGAGGCCCAGGGAAATCTGCAAGTAGTTACATAGTTTTATTAAAAATCTTTTCTAAATTAGAAATCCATGATGTGCATATATCAGTGCTGAGTAACTTATCGTGGCTACTGTCCTTCTTCCCTCCCCTTCTGCTTTCTTGCTTTGCTGTCCCTGGACTGGAGTCCATATAGATTTCAGTTAGTAATTGCTTCTTCAGGGCTGGCTCAATCTGTGCACCCCCAAAAAGTGCATCAGCATTTTTTATTTGCAAGACATTTGTACACTTATGTGTAGAGGCCCAGGGAAATCTGCAAGTAGTTACGTACCTGCAGTGCCTACCTCCATGTGGTTCAGGGGGCCTTTCCCCAGGTTAAATTCCCTCTTCAACACCCACTTCTGTGAAGGCACCCCCAAAAAGTGCATCAGCATTTTTTATTTGCAAGACATTTGTACACTTATGTGTAGAGGCCCAGGGAAATCTGCAAGTAGTTACGTAGTTTTATTAAAAATATTTTCTAAATTAGAAATCCACGATGTGCATAATCAGTGCTGAGTAACTTAATAACTAATTTTTGTGGCTACTGTCCTTCTTCCCTCCCCTTCTGATAGTTTTATTAAAAATCTTTTCTAAATTAGAAATCCATGATGTGCATATATCAGTGCTGAGTAACTTATCGTGGCTACTGTCCTTCTTCCCTCCCCTTCTGCTTTCTTGCTTTGCTGTCCCTGGACTGGAGTCCATATAGATTTCAGTTAGTAATTGCTTCTTCAGGGCTGGCTCAATCTGTCACTTACATCATTTGAAAGCGTAATGATTATAGACAATTTTAGTGTTCAATCCAGACAGCACTTCAATTTCACAAGGCATCCGGCTCTTGGAGGTGTCTGTATAACAAGTTGTATCCACAAAATACAAGACAAGAAAACAAAAGATGTTTTCTGTTTGATATATTTTTAGAAACACACTCTCCTGGTGTAGTTCTCCTTCCCCCACCACAGAGAAAGAATTGATGTTAATTCTTCAAAGAAGCAGCACAAAATTTTTTTGGTTCAGGAACGATATCCTTTAATTAAATTCATGTTGCTAATTGAAAACTAGAGGAGGGTGGATATTTAATGGAATTATTTTATTACAACCCAGACTTTAATTATATGCCTAAATAGGATTTGTCAGATCTGAGTTGTTAACAGACCACCACTGTGACTTTGTCTCCCTCTGACTCACGAGCCCCAGCCTCCTTCAATGCCTTCCTGTTTACAAGTCTATTCAGGATAGTCCCTGCTTAAAAAACTAACACTACGTGCCCTTTTAGCAGCCTGGGTTGTACAAGCATTCTTCTTGACACGGTTAACATTTACCAGCCGGCAGTTTTGCCGTGTAAAATGCTTGCTGGTGGGGAACTCTTTTGTTTCTGGGGCTGATAAGTCTGGTTTGCGTGGGCTTTTTCTTGCCGAAGTGGGAGATGGCAGCAAAGCAGTGACACCTTTAGCTCAGGGAGGCTCTGAAGCAGGATACAAACCCATTTTGGCTCAGCCAGACAAGCCTTTCCCATCCTAGCTGTGCAAGCCAGCTGGCATTTATTTGTTTTTCTAGCTAGTAGTGCCTGGAGCGCAGCCCCGCGTTAAATGCCAACTCTCAGCCTTGGCTGGCTGGAGTTTCAATTGATAAATCTGGGTTGCACTGCAAATTTCCCACTGCTATCACCCCTCCACAGCTCAGCAGCCAGCACAAGCCTGGGAGGTGTGTAACAGAACGAGAAACGCAGTAACACAGCGAGCTGCTTGCACGCCGCGGCCTTCTCCTGCCTCTGCTGAGAAGTGGTGAGGTCCAAGTAGGACCTGGACCTCCTCTTCGTCTGAGATGGCCCAGGGCAGGGCTTTTTGAGGAGCAGGGTTTCTTAGCATCTCAGGGTGGCTGTAGAGAGGTGGCAGAGTTGCTCCCATCACTTCCCAGCACACCACCCATCTGTCCTGGTGGCCTTAGTAAAATGAAATGCTGGTCTGACACAGTCAGACCCATCTCCATTTGGAAAAGGCAAGTTAAGATTCAAGTTACACAGCATTTAGGCATTTTTCATCAGACTAGGAACTGGATGTAGATTAGAAAACTATAAAACTTGTCTCTTGTTTGGTTCTTTTGGTAGAGACCAAGAGACTAATGATTTAATTTGGGGTGAGCTGATCATCCCAGCTCAATTTTAGCCAACGAAGCATCCAGCCGAGAAGTCTGTGTCAGTATTTGTGTGCCCCCCCCAGCAGAAAAATGTCACCTCTCCATCAGGTTCAGCAGATAGGCTGTGTAGTTGGGGAGAGAGGCTGAAATAGCTCTCACCCCCAAGGGTGGTTCCTCCACTAGTTTGAGGAGCCTTGAGCTCCTGGTGTGTCTGCACAGTCCCTCTGTGGTGGAGAAGCGGTGCTGCTCCTCTGGTGGGCAGATCACAGTGGCGTCTTTATACTAAGAAAAGTAAACACACGTTAGAATTTTGGGCTCCACCAAAGGCTGTGATGGCCTTACAGATGCCTCCAGCTCTTCAGCAGTCAGCTCCCACCTGGCTCCAAGTTTTTAAAGCACATGGAGCTTGGGCTACGTCTGCAGAGAGAGGGGTGAAAAGGGGAAGGAGCAGCGATGGTTCCCCACCACTCCGGAAGCTCTCTCACTGTCTCCTCACGCACCCTGGCCCAGCAGAGGTGATGGAGGGGGAGATGTGCGCCTCCTGCTCAGCCGACAATATGGTTTGGGGAGGAACTGGCGTGTGAAGACAAGAAGATCAAGGCGCATCAGCAAATGCCATCACATTCTGAAGGGCTGCATCCTGCCATGTGGCTCCCAGACCCTTGGTCTGAAAAGTTTCAGGGGCCAAAATTTCAGGCTCAGGTTGTTTGAATTAGTCTGAAATTTAGTGGGAAGCTTTCTCACATCCTGACTGGGAAAAATAACCTTTGGAATCTTGAAAAGAAATTGCATATTTTTTTGTGTGTGTGTGCATGACAAACTGTGCTGTCATGGTCTTGGAGAGGTTCTTCAGTGGTAGCTCAGCTAAGCGTGCTTTAACCATTTCTTGTGCTGTTAATGATGTAGGTATCGTTTGGCTGGAAATTTTCTTTTAAAGGCATTTCTACAATAAAAGTGGGGGCTGTAGCTAGAGGATACCAGAAACATATGGCATCGCATGCCAGATAACACCTTCAGAAGCATAAAAGGCGGCAAGTTCAAACTGCAAACGACTGTCAAAGACAAAATGCCGTATATCTCCATAGTAAAAGTCACTACTTATTCTTCCCCTGCTGGAAGTTAAAAAGCAACATAAAATAAAATAAAAAGCTTGTCAGGAATATGAAAATATCCTGGCATCTGGAGCTCACATACAGGTTTTTTCATGGAGTAAGCATTGCCTTAGCGAACTTACTCTTCAATATGGAAACTATGAAATACAGTATTTTGGAATATTTTTGTGCAGTTCATATTTCTCTAAAATCGCACTCAATCTGCACACTGTATCCATATCAGGAGACAGGATATGATAATTCAAAATTTTTGTCTAAATTGATTTGCGGGAAGAGTAAAGTGTGTATAAACATTAGCCATTTCATTACAGCACTCGGAAATTTGCAATAAAATTTATTCAAGCATATGAAACACACTTGTACATTAAACTTCAGAGATGTTTCCCCTCATATGTGGCCAACATGTATTTCGGCTTCTTGCAGCTCACTGATGGTCCTGCCTGTCTATTTCTAAATGTGCTGCTGATGTGCTTCGGTTCATCTTACCGCTGGATGCATCCAGCATTGATATAACAGCCCGAAAATACAGCTAAGGAGTTCAATTCAGATTTTTAAGTAAAGGGCACAGGTGCTGACTGTGGCAGAGAAGTCAACTTAAATATAGGAGAATCGATGATTAGAAAAGATAAAGTGAGAGTGCCAGGGCAGAGTTGGAGACCAATTTGAATGAGTTGAGCTCCCCCATGCAGATGTGCTCCTGATGTTTGCTTGCTGGTCTTTTATTTAAGAATTTTACTTAATGACAGCATTTCTTTAAAATATATTTGTATTTTCTGCTTAACAACAACAGTAATAATAATAATATCAGTCGTCTGGCCCAGTGAGTGTGCTTTTCCCACTCAAGAATCACAACCTGTAGAGGAATGGCAGTGGGAAACGAAGCAAATCTGAAATAAATAATCCTCTCCCTTGTGTTCAGGTCGAATCCTTGGTTCTGGTGCCTTTGGAAAAGTAGTCGAAGGGACTGCATACGGCTTGAGTCGCTCTCAACCGGTGATGAAAGTAGCTGTGAAAATGCTGAAACGTAAGTTGTGGCGGTTCCAGTTCCCAAGCTGGGTAGTGCATGTTCCCACAGGGTTATTTAAGCATTGCTTGGGCATAAATAGTTTCTCCATGTCTGAAGCTGAACACGTACTGTGAAATGACTGGAATTTAAAATTATATCTTATATTGCTTCATGGTGTTTTCAGTTTTTTGAAGCAGTATCCAGGCTTCTGAAAACATCCAAAGTTTAGTTTTAGCTGTGTGGACTGTAGCAGCCACAATAACTCAGCAAGTTCAGAAAAAGATAGAATAGCCATGAATGTTTGTAAACAAATGAGAGCAATACAACAGAGCAGAAACAACCAGGTCTTGTGTGAGAATCTTAAGTTCATTGAAGGTTTCCCACTTCACGAGCTGAGATTCTGATGCAGTGATTCTGGAGGAACCATGAGGAGCTTTCTTGCATTGAAACTAGCAACTTGTAAAGTGCCTCTGTGCCACCTGGACAGTCCACTGTACCCCTGGAGAAGGTCAAACAGGATGGGTCAGCTATTGAGCTGTGTCAAATTAGTCCTCTATTAGTGATTTGTGACTCCTTTCCAAATCTTAAGAAAGCCCCTTGTCAAGTAAAGGACACAGTCTTCTTCAAGAAACCATGGTTGCAATGCTCTAATGAGGCAAACAAGGAGAAATAATTTGTTATTGGATAAAAGGTGATTGCTGTCACTGAGTGGCAGGTGTGTTTTTCCAACAGCTACAGCGAGATCCAGTGAAAAACAGGCGCTTATGTCTGAACTGAAGATAATGACACATCTCGGGCCCCACCTGAATATCGTGAATCTGCTTGGAGCTTGCACAAAATCAGGTGGGTTTGGCTGACAAAATGGAGGTTTGCTGTGGAGCTACTGTTCACTGTTCAATGTTTAACAAGAACACAAATGTCAAGTAAAGGATTTAACAATCAATATTAACGAATAAAAGGTTTCACAAATCTACCTGATATTTGGGACTTGAAGTCATAACTTAGTAAATACCAATGTATTAACACCCAATACTTTTTTATATTTATATTCTATTTTCTACTCTTTTTGGAGTCTTTTTTTTTTTTTTTTTAAAGACCCCACTCATCAATGCATTATTTTTGCTTTATTTCATCAGGTCCTATTTACATCATCACTGAATACTGCTTTTATGGCGATTTGGTGAACTACCTGCATAAGAACAGGGACAATTTCCTGAGCCGACACCCAGAGAAGCCAAAGAAAGATTTGGATATCTTTGGGATGAACCCAGCTGATGAAAGCACAAGAAGGTGGGGAAAAAATAAAAAAATAAAAGTATGACCTGCAACTTAAGGAAATGCCATTACTAACCCTTACTCCATTCCTCTCATTCATTGGTTTAGAGCCCTCCATAAGTCTTCTCATTAGACTTTTATTTATCAAGTTTGCTAGACCTGGGAAGGTTTCAGCCCTTTTTTTGCAGTCTCCCTGATGTGTCCTAGATCCATGTTTCCCCAATGCAGGGATGCCTGCCCCAGGACCACCATGGGCTCTTCATAGATGTCCTGAGGTCCCAAGGAACATTTCTGTTAACAAAGCATGGCCTAGTGCTCCTCTTTTCTGTAAATGTATCCTTTTGCTTCTACTCACCTAAGTTTTAAAAGTAAAGCACAACTACCTGGTTTTCTTGTTTCCCTGCTTGGGGAATTTCCACTGTCTAAAACTCCATCCCTTCAAACAACCTGGCAGCATTTGTTCTCCAAGCTCCAGTATTCTCCTTTATCTACCAATGGGTTAGCTGGCCTCAATAGTTTCCTTATGGTTAATGTTCATTCCATAACTTTTTCCAGATGATGGTGGAGGAAGCTTGTCATCATACATTCAGCAATAAAGCAATGTCATAAAATTAGCCAGGATTTAGAAGGTGAACAGAGATTCCTTCAAAAAATCACTCAGGCAAATAGACCAACTGACTTTGTAGCTGGATTGGATGAAAACTGTTTGGATTAATAAATTACATCTATAATTTGGAATACCTTGGAGTAAAAGCCATTGGTAGTAGTACCTGAATTCAGTGGAGTTTTGGGAAATTAGACAATGCATGTTTATATACTTGACTATTGGCAAAAGGATAAGTTTGAAGTCTTTGTGTTTGACTACAGTGATATGTGATAACATGCACTAATATGTGGTAGCACATGGCTATGTTGTAATATATAATCTTTACGTATTCCCTAACAAGAAGTCAGCTCTTATGCTCTTCTATCTCACAGCAGTGCAACTGTACTCCATAAAAGAACTGTTAGATCTGTGGGTGCTGTGGCAGGGAAGTCACCTGGGCAATAGCAGCTGATACACCTGTATTCTTTCCCGATTTCAGTTATGTGATATTATCATTTGAAAACACTGGAGAATACATGGACATGAAACAAGCCGATACCACTCAGTATGTGCCAATGCTGGAGAGAAAGGAGGGATCTAAATACTCTGATATTCAGAGATCTGTGTATGATCGGCCTGCTTCATACAAGAAGAAATCTATCTCAGGTAACATCCAATTGTCCCATCTGCATACATCATCAATACTCACAATTCTCACATAAATGCATATCTTATTTTTTGACCTCTGTTTGGATGTAAACTATTCAGATGTGTTTTTTTAAGTGTGTCAGTGTAAGCTATAAGTTAAAAGCTTGTGCTTGTGAGCTTCGTTATGCTCTGGGGACAGGGCTGTGTGCTCCTGGAGCAGCAGGTGTCGAGCCCCGTGTTTGCTGCTGTGCAGAAGGGCTGAAGGGCTGCACCCTGTGGTGAGACTGAGGGTGCTCTTTGGAGGCAGTGATTTTATTAGTCTTGTCGTTTGCAAGATTTTGAGCAACAGCAATGAATAATAATAATAAAATAATAACAGTAATAATAATACTAGTAGTAAATATCTATCGCTCTGTTTCCACTTACGTTTCACGTTAACTGACACTTAGCAAATGCAGAACACTCCCAAATACTTTCCTGGATTATGTAATGAAGATAATGAATGCATCCCATTCCCCGGCGCTCTTCTCAGAAACCAAATATGCTTTGCTTTAAAAATAGGCACCGTCACTTCTGCCTCCAGGCACCAGAAGCTGAACCCTATCCAGTCCCAGATTTACATGGCAGACTAATGTACTCATATTGTGCTCTAGGACAGTCGGGGTAAATGAGTCACTGAATTTTGACTGGTTTTTTTTGCTGACATTTTTCATAAAAAAAAAAAAAAAAAAACTGTTGCCATAGAATTCCTAACCCTTTTTGCTGGTATTGGATTAGTCCCAGTGAATTCTTGCTGGGAAACATAACAGTTTTCAGCAAAAGTAAAGGGATAAGAATGTACATGCATGCACAAAAATCTAATGAAGGCACCACCTCTAAACCAATGTTTTCATACCACACACTGAGTATTGCAAACAACCTGTTAAACACTTCAATGGGCCTTTTTAACTTCACCTTTTCCTGCAGTTCTCTGGGGAAAAAAAAATACAGACGGGAGAAAAAACAAAACCTATATTTAATACTGGTTGTTTTTAAGACTGCAGTATGTGTCAGTGACTGATGCAGACACTAAAAGTGGTTAGTTATTAGGAAAAGACTGGTTTGGTCATGGCATTCTGTTAAAGTCATCAGCTCAGAATCATGATAGGTGAGGGGAAATGGATGTTGCTTTCACAGTCCAGAGCACAAACACATTTTTCTCTCTTTTTCAATAGAATCAGAAGTCAAAAACCTGCTCTCAGATGACAGTTCAGAGGGCCTCAGCCTACTGGATTTGCTGAGCTTCACCTACCAGGTTGCACGAGGAATGGAATTCCTGGCTTCTAAAAATGTAAGTAAATAAAAGAACTAAGTATAAATACAAGGAAGTGTAAAAACATCTTCATCTCCAAGTACAGGTTTCAATTTATATTCTGAAAATATGGCACAATACAGTATTCTTTCTGGGGCTGTAGACAACTTTCTCACTTACGTGGCAACTGAGATCACCCTGGCTGGAGAAATCAGAGCAGCTGTCAGTCCTCTTCTCCCATGGCAGCCCGTGACATTCATGGAGGCAGCGTGCCAGGGATGGTGGTGGATCTAAGCGGGGTCCAGGTGGAGGGTCCATGCAGCCACAGGCCAGCATGGTCAGAAGCATGGTAGATGATGGGTAGAAGGGGAAAGCATGGCATCACATTTGACTTCTCCCCACTGCAGTACATCTGCATGAACCCTCGCTGGTTCTGAGGGCTGGTGCCTCCCTGCCCCTGCCAGCTGGGCAATACAGGTGCTGCTCAGTAGAAGGTCTTGTAAAGACTGTGCCCAGAAAGTTAACAGAACTTACTTTCAGGGATATATGCGAGGGAAATGGCCCTCGCGGAATTAGCACGTCCTTGAACAACTCATTTTCTCTCCCTACAGTGTGTGCACCGTGACTTGGCAGCTCGTAATGTCCTCCTGGCTCAAGGAAAAATTGTGAAGATCTGTGACTTTGGGCTGGCTAGAGACATCATGCATGATTCCAACTATGTCTCCAAGGGCAGCGTATGTACTTCTTAATCTCCTGAGCTCTGCTTTAACTGAAATGAGAAGTGTCAGTTTTAAATGCTGTTTAATGTTCTTGCCATTCAGTGTTAGTTACACTAATTGACCATTGGGATGAACGCTCCTGAGAACAATTTTTCTTCAGTTCATTAATTCCTGCAAATTTCCCAGTTCTGCTTTAAAGCTGAAAAGGACTTGGCCACGCTTAGTACTTCGCAGGTTTACATTTTGACTGGCAAGTTTTGCGACTGGATAAATTATTAAGGAGCTGTGTCTGTGCTATGTAGAGTAGTGACACTCGAGTCAATGACATCTCAGACCTAGATCAGCAGTGCCAGCTCCTGTATCGTACTTTCAATCAGCCTAGTCATTTACTAGTAATAAAATTAATATAGTTATGGCTTTATAATTTTATAATTAGTTTTTGTGGGGAGCAAATAGTATCGTTCCTTACAATCCTGGTACCTCTGTGTTATATGGAATTGAAAATAAACACTAGCCAGGCTAACACAACTTTTCTTACTAGAGGGAAGTTAATCTTGGTTATCAAACAGCAGCTGCAAAGGGAAGCATTTCTTTAATGACTAAGCTGTGCGGTTTGGGGTTTCTTTCTTTTCGATACAGACTTTCCTCCCAGTAAAATGGATGGCACCTGAAAGCATTTTTGACAATCTGTACACAACATTAAGTGATGTCTGGTCTTATGGCATTCTGCTGTGGGAAATATTTTCTCTTGGTATGTACTGTGAACACTTTCTTGTGTGTAGTGATTAAGCTTTTTCAGTTCAAGCTGTTCTACATCAAGTATTTCAAATTCTACAGTAAAAATATATGTGTGAAATCAACTGTTAGTTATTCTTCTGTATGGGATTTCAGATCCCGGTGCTGGGTGTGAAGTAAAACGTCCAAACTCTCCCAAAGTTCTCTTTAGATTTTTTTTTTTTGCAATATATATATATTTTTTTTTGCTAGAAAACTGAAAGCACTGAGTGAAAAGCTGTTGTGGAAAAGTATTGGTGTGTCAGGCCAGGATGGATCTCCTGGATAACAGGAGAAGGAACATGCTTCCCCCTGGGGTGCCTGGGGTTACAGCCCAGCCCAGTGGCTGCTTTGAAAGTATCTTCATATACATTTCAAAAGAGCCCATCTTAGTCCCATTAGAGAAGGAAAACAAATGTCAATCTTCTGGGACGCTGATTTCTCATTTCCAGGTCAGCACCGCTCACACAGTTGGTTTATGGCAGCGTAAAGTGGTTATGACAATCTATAGCAGTTACAGACAATGTACAGTTCCCAGCTGGGAACAGCCTGGCTCTTTCCTCAGCCTGATTAATTAGCCTCCCGGGCGGGTGGCTGGCCTGCTTCAGTAAGCCTGCGTTGCCCGGATTTACTCCCAGCAGAATTAATCACGCCTGTATGGTATCTACTACTGCCCCACGGCAACCCCAAGCCTAATGTTATTTTCTAGACCGAGTTGCCATATAGCTGCTTCTCAGAAAACAGCAGTTGCACCACTCTTTATGGTATTGATTACTGTAATCTCTGGGCATCACAGTGTCCTGTAAATATCCATTCACCTGCATCCCTGGCAGGCATGGGAGTGCTGTTGGATGTCTCAGGAACTGAGGCACAGCTCAGCCTGTGCTTCACTGCCCTACCTGCAAGGAAGGGTCTGAAGCCCACTGTTAAGTGAAAACCCTGCTTTTGAAAGGGCAGAGGTTTCTGGTGTAAATATTGTAGGATATTGTAGGATTTTCCTCTGCCTAAGAAAGATGATATTTCTCAGAAAGCAAAACTTAACCTCAGTGGTGTTTATTGAGAAAGTTAACTTTGACATCTGGCTGCAACACTGACTTCAGCTTGAATGATCCTTTTACACATCAGTGATGTCTGTACACCGTAGAGCCAAATGATGGTTTAACCCTGTCAGCTCAGAGGCCAAGTCCAGACTTTCAACAATCCCCACACCTGACATGTTAGCTGTTGTCTAAAGTCACCTGCCCAGGTGGGAAGACTTGGGCATGGAGGGACTGGCTCACACTAAGGCTTTGCCCTTACAGCCAGGACGAGGAGAATACCTCAGACCACATCATTCTCAGGTGCTGTGCAGGTGTCAAAAGCAATAAAACCAGACAGATCAAATGACTTGCTTAAAGTGACCCAAAAAGCCAATGGCAGAGCAGAGCCATGACCTCAGGTCTGCTGAACGCAGGCTGATGACCTAATCCAGGTATCACTCAGCCTCTGTGCCCAGCCAATACACTCTATAAACACCACAAAGTGATTTTCTTCTAAGTAGTAGCTACTTCAATCTTTCCTAGCCAATGTTTCACATCAGGGCTTAATGTGGTCAAGAGAACAGCTCTGATGTGAGCCGTTTAGATGTGGTGTTGGGGGATATGGTGTAGGGGAGAACTTTGTAGAGTAGGGTAGATGGTTGGAGTCAGTAATCTCAAGGGTCTCTTCCAACCTAGACGATTCTATGATTCTATGATTGGCTAGAAAAGATTAATTTTGATGGCATGTCAAATCACAGCATTAACAATTTTTGACACTAACGACAAGACAGTCTTCAGGAACTCTGCGTGGATAGTCAAGTAGAGAGTGGTAATTTTTCTTCTCTTTCTGTTTTTCTGCAGGTGGCACACCATATCCTGGCATGATGGTTGATTCTACTTTCTACAATAAGATCAAGAGCGGCTACCGAATGGCCAAACCCGATCATGCTACCAATGAAGTGTATGTGTGCATTTGGCTCTCCCCCACCTGGCCAGTCTCCAGATAATTTTGGCTTTAGTTTCTGTTTGGTTGCTCATTTCCCTTTGGTTAAATTGATTTCCGTCTTACCCGCAGGTACGAGATCATGGTAAAGTGCTGGAACAGTGAGCCAGAGAAAAGACCTTCTTTCTACCATTTGAGTGAAATTGTGGAGAGCTTGTTGCCTGGAGAGTACAAAAAGGTTTGCTCTTTGGAATTTCCCTTGTGCTTCCTATATACTGTTTTAGAGGGAATTATATGTGTTGATCCAGCCGTCAGAGCCATGAGCACTGGACTGGCACATCCTTCCCTACATGAGTTACATGACTTGGAGAGGGTCATTGCATGTTGGGGGAACTGAAACTAAGGTTTCTGAGAGAAGCAATTTGTCAGTATTAGCTGGGAAGCAGAACTCTCCATTTCTAATGAAATCCTACCAACTCAGTATTTCTACTGAGGAATGGTTTTTATGTATTTTCATGGGATTTTCTAGGCAGTGAAAGAATTTTAGAAAAGGGATAACTTCGCCCACGTGTATAATCTCCCTATCTCCCTCTTTGGTCCTTGACACCAGCAAGTTGTCCGCTCATAATTCTGATACCTCTGGACAAGTTCTGCCTGCCCCATCATTCAGTGTTTCATTTTTGCACTTCCCTTCATTTCTTTCCCCTTCTTGCTACCATTCTTTCACATCTGTCTGTTAGCTCTGTGCTGCTCACAGCACTGACTCCTGCATCTTCTAAAACTGGTTTATCTCCAAATTCCCAATGACTTGAAGATGCTGGGCTTCTCTATCCACTGTTGCTGGCTCACAGGGCAGAATATCTTCTGGGTTAATGAAACACAGCTACCCTTTTGAAGAAAGTGAATAATCTCTTGTGAGGTCTCAGTGAATATCATCTAATCAGGTGTTTGAAATGAATATTTTCAGAGCTATGAGAAGATCCACCTGGACTTCCTGAAAAGTGATCACCCAGCTGTCACGCGCATGAGAGGGGACTGTGACAACGCTTACATTGGTGTCACCTACAAGAACGATGACAAGTTAAAGGACAGGGAGAGCGGATTTGATGAGCAGAGGCTGAGTGCTGACAGCGGGTACATCATCCCCCTGCCTGACATTGACCCCGTTTCTGAAGACGAGCTTGGCAAAAGGAACAGGCACAGGTATGTGAGGTTTACAGACCAGGTTGTCCATAGTCAGTGTTCTGGGTCATGTCTGGCGATGTGCATTAACACTTTTTAGCATCCTAGTCTGAAAACGGTTTCCTTGGCTCTGTTGGGACTACTTATTCAGAAGGTCCCATTTGGGTATGGGAATATGACTAATCATAGTGTTTTCGATTGGAAAAGCCTAATTTGGGCTCTTTCGTGACTGGCAGGGGGAGGGGACTGCTGGCAGGGTGCTCCTGTGTGTCACTGGGCCTCCCTTGCTAGCTTGGCCAAGTCACAGTGGCTGTCTGGGTGGCTCCGTGGGCTCATTTTGCAACACATCTTTTCCCTATAGCTCAATGCCTTGGAGCTGCATGTGAGGTCTCAAGGCATTGACTGTGGAAGACCACCTTCAAAATTTGGGAGAAGTTGTTTTTAATACCTTCCATGGATTCTTTTAATGGACAGGAGTGTATCCAGGACTTTTTACTGCTCCCTTGTCAGTTTGCATGACACCGCTACAGCACAACACTGTGTAACCTTTACTGTGAATAGCAGGGGGTTTATTCAGCCCTTAATTCATAGTATAGCAACCTAGAAACTTCTTTTTTTTTAAATATTTTTGCACAATTTTCAAGAGGCTGATGAATGAAATCTCTTCGAAGCATTATCCAGATTAAGATTTATTACCTCTCTCTGTTAACTTATTGTCCATTATTGTTATCTTATTTTCATGACCTCCCTAGATTTACCTAAATGACCTATTGCCACAGCAGTGTCATAAAGCTATTTCTTTAATGAGTTTCTGGCAGAAAGTGCTTGGAGGAAGATATGAACAACCTGCTTCTTTTAATATGAAGGTGGTTCATTACTTTTGAGATAAAAGATCTGCCATGTCTTAAGAAACAGGCAGTCAGAGTCACCTAAGCTTGCACCATGGGTCAGAGAGCATGTGAAGAGATGGTGTTCAGTTCTGTTAGAGAATGGAATAGACTTACCCAGCCACATAGTCAGAGTCACCTAAGCTTGCACCATGGGTCAGAGAGCATGTGGAGACATGGTGTTCAGTCCTGCTAGAGAATGGAATAGACTTACCCAGCCACATTTGCCACGTATTTGCCGTATCTCTGAGATGTTTGTCTCTTCCAGTTCCCAGACATCTGAAGAAAGTGCCATTGAAACTGGTTCCAGTAGCTCTACTTTTATCAAGAGAGAGGACGAGACCATTGAGGACATTGACATGATGGACGACATTGGGATCGACTCCTCAGACCTGGTGGAGGACAGCTTCCTGTAACCCCACCAACACCTCCCAGCTCTGCACACGAGGAAGCTCGCCGTGTCGTCTACAGACTTCTGCTCCGCAGAGAAAACCACTTTATTGCAATGTCAAGGATGTGAGGAGGAGGCGGATTTGTACAGAGAAGCTCCCAGCGATGGGCAGAGGGATCAGCCTGAGCGTGAATGAAAGAGACATGTCGAAGATGGATTTTTTTTTAGTGTTGCTTCTTGCAGTAGCATCTCAGTGTTGTTTGCCATTCCAACTGGTAGGAGGATGAAGGAAAAGGCCACAAACAGACCAGTTTTGTGTTTCAAGGGCATTCATATGACTTTGATGGACCGAATTTCCACTGCAGCAATACTTCACCTTTGTAATTATGTAAATAACTGTCTACTCAAGGATCTTTTGAGGTGCACATCGAACATATGCCATGGATTTTTGAAGAGATCATTCATGAGTTTTGTGTACTTCCTCCCTCAATCTCAATGTCAGCTGCTGTTGAACTATCATGTGAATTGAAGAACATGCAAAAACCACTTTTGGACCAAGAAGGTCTAAAACCACAAGGGACTGACCGGTACTACAAAACATGTTACTTTTTACCATTAATGCAAGTAAAGGGGAATAATAAAAATAATAATAATAATAATAATGATGATTAATAACCAGTCTATAATAGGTGTTAGAAACCTAGTAAGTCTTTATTAACTATAGAAGATAGCTGTTTTCAAGATAATACTACTACCGTTTTCAGTAACATTAAATGTATATTTTATAATTCATTGTCCTTCAGTAAAAGCACAGTCTCAAGAAACATTTTTAAGTACAAGGAAAAAATTTATGACCTGAAAATTTTTATGAAACAATTCTGTTATTTGGCTGTACACAATATGGTAACTGCTCCGGTTAGCTAAAGCTACTTTAACATGGAGAAAAAGTCAAGATTTAGTTTTCTGTCATGAGCCGAGTAGTTTTTCTAATCAGATTAGAAGAAATTATTGTCCTCTGATTAAGTGAGGTTCTAAAAATTTAATTAAAAAAAAATTATGCCAGATTTTCAAGATGCTCAAGAATGGAAGTTTTGATAAATCACCAGCAACATCTCATTATTATTATTTCATGGGTACTCAAAAGAAATCTTATACGATGGTTAGCTGTGAAAAATTGATTTGATATTTGAACTGCTCAAGGAACAAAGACACCTCTCCCAGACTGGAACTCCAGATTAAATAAGCAGAAATAATTCTGCAGCAAATATTTTTGTCTTAGTTTTCAGGTTTAAAGAGGAACAGAACACTCTGACTATTATCTTTGCAGACTGTAACTACAAACGGTAATTGCTTCCAAGAGTATTTTTCAGAAGGTCATGCATGAAAATGAACGTGCTCGCAGCCTGAAATAGTTGTTTTTGGATACCATTCACACGAGCAAAGTATTACGATTCCTGCTATCACTGTACAAGGTGTTACTGAGATATGATGCTTTGGAAGACTTACATGTGAAAAAAACCAAGGTACAACACTGCGAAGGGCCCCATCCTTTCTGGTGCTCAACTTTCAAACTTCACCTTAATTCCGTGCCCCCGGTGCCTCGCGGGAGGTGCTCAGCCTCTGGCACGACACAACCAATGCAAACGTGGTGCAAACCCATCCCTGTGTTGCAGCATTTTTCCGAGGAAGCGTGACAGAGGGACCAGCAGTGCCCGACAGAACATGCTGCCGTGTTAAGCTACAGTTTGACTTGAAATGGCCCTAGGAAAAGCTACACAAGTCCCCTTGGCTTCATTGTTGTGGACGGTTGTGGATCAAAGGAAAGCAAATGTGATACTGTCAGTGTTACAGGCAAATACTTCTGGGTCTGGGTTTCAAAGCATCGCCCGGCTGAAGCCACGTACAGGCATCCTGCAGATGTGACAACGGGACCTGGAGCACGGTGCCCATATTTCCCATTCAAAGCATCACCCATCTGAAGCCACGTACAGGCGTCCTGCAGATGTGACAATGGGACCTGGAGCACGGTGCCCATATTTCCCACCCCAAGGGAGGCTGACAATCAGGAGGAACCGTGAGCCATGGCGCATCCTCCATTTCTTGCAGCCAGCAGATCAAGACCGAGTGTCTACCCGGGAGCTGAACACGTGTCACTGAGCTCTGTGCGGCGACAACTGTGAAACACAAAGACTCTCCATACAGCCAGGACAGACGAAGCGACGTAAAGTCCCCCCTCCAGCTATGAACTATGAATTGAGGAAACACAAATTATCTGTTTGATATCCCAGATATCTGAACGGCCACTTGAGACCACACGTGCCTTAATTTGCATGTGTAGCCAGTACAACTACATGCTCAAATTAGGCAAGCAATTTCACCTGCATTTTTGCACATGGCCCAGTGTTCTTCAGGGTTTGAAAATCAGCCCCAGCGCATCTTATTGTACCAGTTACTGGAATTTAAGGATGTTTTCATGTGGTCTCCCCTTCCCCTCACCAGTTTCATTCCGTATCTCGCAGTGCATCTCAGGGCTAGACCCAAAGGGTGGACGTGAACTGGAGTTGGCTCAATTTCTGATGCACGGTAATGTTGATTCTCCATCCTGTCACGAGTATTGTGTTCATGAACTGCACCCGTGGCAGGGGTCTAGCCAAACGCAGCTCACCACGGGCTTGGAATCAGACAAACTGGCCTGGAAACTGGAATGAGAAGCAGAGGAAGAGAGGGGGTTTACCAGAGAGGAAGAAGTGTGAGAAGATGATTTGCTTAGTTTTACGATATTATCAGTATTACAGACTTTTTCTTTTATGGCTTAATTTTTAAGAAGCCACTGGAAGAGATACTCCCAAACCTTTCACTAGAGTAATTGTATAACGACAATCAGCGTTAAGCCTGCGAAACACAGCTTTTGATTTGGAATGGCCAACCAATTCCTTACAGCGTGGTCTGCAACTTGTACAAAATGGTCCTATTACATGATGAAGGACGTGAGATATGATGATGTTATACATCAATATGTATATAAGTATTTTTATATAGACTTCTAGAATACTGCCAAAACATTTATGACAGCTATATCACTGCCTTTGTTTATATTTTTTTTACTGTGATATATTCCACAGGCACGTTAACTGTTGCACTTTGAATGTCCAAAAGTTATATTTTAGAATAATAAAAAAGGAAGTGTTTCCAAAATGGTGGCTGTTGTGAAATGTTTGAAGAAGGGCAAACTGGCCTGAGTGATGGTAGGCACAAAATGTATTTCAAAAAATGCCCCTGTTGATATTTTGTCTTTGAAAAAAATCCTGTAAATTAAGATCTCTATATTTCAATAAATGATATATAATTTAAGGATATGTGAGGGGTCTATACTCACTTATTGAAAGATGGTTATAAAGAATCAATCTTTCTTGGGTTTCTTTCTCCCAGAAGGTTTCTGGTTAATCGAGTGCCCTGCAAAGCCATCGCGCAGTAATGACGAGCAGATCTCTGAGCCCTTCCAGTGGGCACAGAGGGGAAGCTCCTCTGGAAAATGACCTGGAGAGTGAGTGACATCTATGGGGAACCATGTTGTCCCCCAAAACATGGGAGGTGTGGTGCTCCAGCGACTGCTGCCCAGAGCAGAACATCTGCCCCAGGGTGGGCATAGGGCTCCCTGTGGGAGATGAAACCCTTCTTGTGCTGCGGGGTTCGATGCCCGCTGGCTGGCACACACGGAGGAGAGATGGGACATGGGATGCTGAGCCACATGGCTGCAATGTACACTCTCTGCTGCTTCTAGCACCGGTGTACAATCAAGGTTTTTATGCAAAGGTTGCTTTCAACAAGGGACTAAAAGTGACTTGTGTCAGTCTTTAGCCTAAAGCGCTTGATGATTATGGAGGATTAGGTGGCCCCGCCACGAAATGGTCATGGTTTCTCTGCCTCTGGCTGCAGGGCTTTTTTTAAACCTATGCAGAGCTCACCTTCTTTATCAATCAAACCAGATTTTTGTCTGATGGTTCTGTGCTCCCGCAGTAATTGATTTTACACAGTGGATCCAACTGAACGTGAATTCGAGAAGAATTGCAAGATTTCAACCTGAAAACAGAGGTAAACTGGTCAGCTGCACTTTCTGCACTGGAGCCTGTCCTGGTTTGCCTGGTTTTGCCTGCCCAAGCAAGGCTGGCTGTGGGAAAGCCCTGCAAACAGGTAGGTTAGCAACCTCCCATCCATGGAGTGGTCACTGTTGTTTAAATGTGCTTTGAGATTAGCTCTTTATGGACTTATTCCTATGTCCTGGAGCATATTAGAATGCCAGATTAATGCTAAAATGTATTAAATGTGGCCAGTCTTTCATCTGCTCCATGTGGACAGAGGCCTCTGTCACTTACTGAATGCTTGACGAAAGTAAATTGTTTTGACTGACTTGGTTTTATTCAGTTAAGGCAATTGTAAAAAGGTTTGTGAGCGAGCCTGATATTATTATAAAGGAGTGATGCCCTTAAAACAATGTTCTTCATCTGTCCTAAAAATAATTCATTGAGTGGTAGTTTAGAGTGAGCCTGTAGTTGCCAGTAAGGATATGAACTCTCCATCTAACATCTCTTTCTCCTTCACCATCACCTCTCCTTCTCCCTCACAAAGCAAATCCCCTCCTTATTTTAAAGAGGTGCAGCAGGCTGGGGTCTTGCCTTAGATAAAAGTTAGAGCAGGTTCCTTCTCCTTTGAGTCCTTGCCAAAGAGGAGTCTTTGTCCTACAACACTGCATGTATAAGCAACACTTCTTGTCACCTCAGGGGTTGGGGAAAGAGTTGTGGCAACACTTGTGTCTTTATATCTGTCCTGCTTGGCTGTGGACCTGCTCTTCTGGAAGTTCAGCAGCTGTGTGAGGACCAATGGACTCATTATTCCTGCTGTCTGTGGTAAAGGGTGGTGGTACCAAAATTCCTCTCTATGCAAGAGCCTGTAGCTGGGTACAGAGCTCAGAGTCCATTCTCCATCCTCTTCTCCTCCTTTGCAGAGGGGGAATGTGATCTCCCATGTGCAGGGTATGGCTGTGTGTGCCTGTGAGCGTGTGTATCCGTGTTGGGGAGCATGGGTGGTGACGGTCTCACCCTCTTCTGAAGTAGATCCATTCTGGGTAAAAGTCTAACCCCTCACTCCACTGATAACCACATTCTGGGTGTCCAGTGGGGATCCTGCTCATCATCTTACTCCCTAACTTGAGGCCTCTGGAGTATTTGGCTGGAAAGGGAGCTCAGTGTCACACATCAGAGGCAGTATGCCCAGGACAGAGGAGCTGGGGGGAGAGCAGCAGTGTGCCTGGAGCAGCAGAGATGGGTGGGCTCCTGGCTGGGATGGGAAGGGAAAGGTAGGGAATGGCTTTCCACATGGGCCCTGTGCAGGACATTTCAGTTTATGCAGGTGAACAGACCTTTGGCTGAGCTTCTGGATTGCTATGAGTGGTGCAAAAGGGAAGCAGCAGGTTCATCAGTCAGAAGCAAGTCATCCAGCCACCCCAAGGTGGCTCTGGAAACCCTGGGAACCAGAGGCATGGTGACCTTGCAACTGCCAGATGTGTTGTGTGGTATGGGAGCTGTGTGCTGGAGTAATACCTGGGAAGGATCAGAGGAAAGCAAAGGAAAGCCTTCTGGACACTCAAAAACAAAGATGAGGGAAAGTTACCTCATGGATCTGGGCTGGCCCATGAAGCTGGGAGCTGAAGCAGAGTCCATACTCTGTGCGAGCCCCACCACCGATGCCTACAGTAAGGTGAAAGGTAGGGCTTAGCGCTTGTGGGCTTGTCAACCTCTCCCCATCTCTGTCCTGCACCCCTTGGTACAGCTGGCTCGTGTGAGACCAAACCACAGCAGGCGATGGAGGAGGCACCAGCCCCTTCCTCTGCCACCATTGGTGCTCAATGCTTTCCAAAGGCAAAACTCATCTAACTTCCAATCTCAATTCAGCCCCATCCATATAATTGGAGGTAAGGATTTGAGACACCTTTAAAAATTCCAATGTCTTGTTACTTTTGTTAATACCTGTACGGAAATAAAGAGCCAAACTTTTCTTTTCTGAGTTGGCCACAAGATGGAAGCATCAGACAAAAATCTGTTCAATAGTTCTTTTCCTCCTTTTTCTGGTTTTGTTCCCACAGCAGCACAGATGTGCTGCCACTGCAGAGGCAGAGCAGCTGGAGCCTTTACAGCAATAGGAGGTAAAGGAGTACATGCAGTGTCTGTCAGCTCCAGATGTTTTGCTTGGAAGAACTTTGAACCTTTTATGATAACCATAGTTTGCCATAGGACGTGACCTGCTGTAGACACTCCTTTTAAAGAATGAAATATGTACTCAAGTCTACTCTTACCAAAGGGAAAACCGAAACAGCATCATGGAAGTCAGGGAAGTTGCCTGGGATTTTTGTGAGCCATAGTTATCCATTTTGTGTTACAGCATTCAACCCAAACTCTGCAAAGCTGGAAACTTCACTAGCAACCTCTATGCTATCTCTGGTGGCATTGAAGGACATTCTGCCTTTTGCCTCAAAATACTTACCTCTAGTGGAGAGAAGGAGAGATTTAGAATATGTTTTTAAATATGGTGAGGAGTGAGACCTTAGACATCGCAAACTCAGCTGAGGTTGCGTCCATCTCCTCTGCATTCATTCTTCTGCTGCTTTAGTGTTGTGTTGGTGCTGGATGAAGAGCCAGAAACACTCCTGAGCTGAGGGCCAGATTCATCTGCCTTTGTGGTATTAAAAAAAAAATAGATTTGGGACCGGTCTAATGTACATAGCCAGACCCCCAAATTCTAACCCCTGGAAGGCATGCAGGTTCAAGAGTTAGTTCAGTTCGTAAGCTATTCCAAATCCTGCAACAATCTGATGGATCAGAAATTGCCATATCCACCCTGCCATTAGCTCCTGCGCTCTGCCAGCAGGAGCA